GGTTGAGCTATAGGCGCCGAGCCATTATTAAGGCTTTTAACACATGCAATAGCTATTTAATTGGTAACAACATTCAGCACATCCATACAAATTCTCCTTTGATGTGGGCCTGCTGTGTGCTAGGTACTCTGTGGGCTCATTTACATTTATTTATTTATTTATTTAGAGACAAAGTCTTACTCTATCACCCTTGGTAGAATGCTGTGGCATGGTGGCACAGCTCACAGCAACCTCCAGCTCTTGGGCTTAGGCGATTTTCTTGCCTCAGCCTCCCGAGTAGCTGGGACCACAGGAGCCCACCACAATACCCGGCTATTTTTTTTGTTGTTGTTGCAGTTTGGCTGGGGCCAGGTTTGAACCCACCACCCTGGGTATATGGGGCTGGCACCTTACTCACTGAGCCGCAGGTGCTGCCCTACATTTATTGTTTTCATATGAAAAGCAACCCTACAGGCTCAGTGCCCATAGCACAGTGGTTACAGCACCAGTCACATACACAGAGTCTGGCGGGTTTGAGCCTGGCCTGGGCCAGCTAAACAATGACAACTGCAACAAAAAATAGTGGAGCATTGTGGCAGGTACCTGTAGTCCCAGCTACTTAGGAGGCTGAGGCAAGAGAATTGCTTAAGCCCAAGAGTTTGAGGTTGCTGTGAGTTGTGATGTCACAGCTCTCTACTGGGCGACATAGTGGGGCTCTCTCAAAAAAAAAAACAAAACAAAACAAAAACCCCTAGTGTTCTCCATTTTATACAAAACCTCTAAGAGGTGAAATGACTCCTCTAAGGTCACACAGTGATGGAGCTGGGAAGACAACCTAGAACTGACTCCAAAGTCAACAAATGGTTAAATAATTGAGTAGAATCTGGGAAAGTTTCTTGAAGTAAGTGGACTGTTACCTGGGCTTTATGGGTGGACATAATGACATAAGGAGTCAGGGTCAAGAGAAAAAGGCCATCCAGCAAAGTTCAAAGCCTGACCAAAGGCCATCAGGAGATTTCTTTTTTCTTTTCTTTTCTTTCTTTCTTTTTTTTTTTTAAGAGACAGTCTCACTTTATTGCCCTTGGTAGAGTGCCACACTATCACAGCTCACTGCAACCTCCAACTCCTGGGGTTAGGTGATTCTCTTGCCTCAGCCTCCAGAGTAGCTGAGACTACAGGCACCTGCCACAACACCTGGCTATTTTTTTGTTGTTGCAGTTTGGCCAGGGCCAGGTTCGAACCCGCTGTCCTCCATATATGGGGCTGGTGCCCTAACCACTTAGCCACAGGCGCCTTCAAGGAGATTTCTTTTCTTTTTTTTTTT